CAGATATTAGGGCAAACAAGCAACGTCTAGAAAAAACTACAGGACATTTTATAAATTATAAGATACAAATAGTTTAAAATATTGCTTCAAAAATACTTTAAAATTTTCAAAGAAATAATTTATTCTTCAACTTGAACTTATTTAATAATCATAAAATCTTGATTGAATCTCAAAATGGTAACAAAAAATACATTTAAAACTTGTGAATGATCAAAAACAGTATGTTTCTAGTATTATTTTTTCACATGGAACAAGTGAAAAGCACAATTCATCCATGTAATGTGTAAGGTGCACAGGCAAATTTTGCTACCCATTTAACCCAGTGTTGTAAAATTACAACACTGACATAACAAGCTCAAAATCTAAAATGATTAATGCATTCAACAATACCTTAATATCTACACGATCTAGACATTACTAATCACAGAAAAAATATTTTAGGCATTTTACTCACTTGAATGTAATAATTCCTTCCTTTTCTGGGCACTCAAAGCGCTTTACATAGAAAGGGGGAATCTCCTCAACCACCACCAGATAAATGTAGATTTATCCAGTCCAGTAAAACAAGATGATGTGTTTCATGGGAAGTTTGCAGGTTGTGTGAGTTTATGGCCAGGTAAACAGGCCTATTTTTTAAATCTAGAATCCAATAGCATTGCAAGGCTAACCAATAGGATCTATTAGTTGTGTAAATGTGGTCTTAGAGAGAGAGAGAGAGAGAAAAAACATGCGCAGCTTTATTTTAGTGAAGCTAAAACTGATGTTGTAATATTACAACAGTGGGACTTACAGGGTTTAAGCTAATTTTTACACTACAACAATATGAGACAATATGAAGTAGGACTTTAACGGTATCTTTTTTAACAGGAAGCTGAAGTACACAGCAAATGGAAGCAATGCTACACCTGACTGGCCATACTACAAATCTATTGAGAGGATCTTGTCAAAGATACCAGACCATGCCCATATGAGCCCACCGAACCTCTCGACATCTGGCCCCTCCACTTCTCAGCTCGAGACTTCTGTGCCCCAGTCAGCTCCACCAAGTGGGTTTCTACCCGAGTACACTGGTTCCTCAGAGGAGAGAGAAATCAACGATGAGGAGGAAGGCCTAACAGAGAACTCAGAGAGTTCTTTCGAGACCAGGTAACATGTTCGATCTGATCACAGATCCGTTTCAGATTCATAATTGTGCAATTATAAATGCATGGCTGTCCATCTGCAGGTCACAGCCACATAAGAGGCGGAGGCTTTCACACGTGTCACTGCGCCGAAAGAAGCTGCGTGTCCTGGACGCAATGCTGCAGGAGCAACGCAGGATAAGCCGTGCCGTTGAGGAGGCATGTCATGAAGTTCGCCGCGTTATGCATCAGCAGAACTTCCTGCAGGTGCAGAGCCTCCAGCTTCAGGAACGAATGATGAACCTCCTGGAGAAGATGATTCCTGCTCCGTCTGCCCCTTCTTGGCCTAACCCACCGGCCTCAAAGGGTTTAGGAACACCTACAACTGAGTGACAGTGACCTCGGGATATGGACCTTTTTTGTCTTTGCTAAGGAAGTGTTGCTATATGCTATCTAAGTATAAAAGCTATAACCAACTAGTTAGCTGTACATTTTAGACCTGTTTAGGCTCTGTTCAGTCTTCTACTATAAATATGTTATTCAAAAATGTTGACAGATGTATCCTAAGCAAGAAACTTCTGAAGAAATCACTATTTATCCACATCTGATTCAAATCTGAATCAAAATGTAGTTCTCAAAAGTTAAATGGTGATTGTTATATGACACAAAATGTGTTGTTTATGAAATCTGATTCATTTGATTCTGATTCATTTGATTCATTCTAATTGCTGTGTTAGTTGCTAATTCCTGGCTAATTATTTAGACAATGTAATGTCAATCATGGTTGACTGGCATCTAAAAGATTTCAGATTTCTTTTAAGGCATTCTTTAAAAGGATACCGTGTTCAAGAAAACTCCAGAAGGTCAGAAGTTCAGGTCAGACAGATAACATCAAATGGTTGGTGATAATGTAAACTGAATTAGGCTGACAAGGATTCGAAATGGAAGAGGACAATCTTAGTTTAGTTAGTAGCATTACAGTTCAGCGTTACAGTGTTATAGCATAGCACAATTTAGCAAAATGTAACATTTTACTAAATGTTACAAAATGCAGTTGTTTTAGTAGCAGTTTATATGCTGACACTCATATTTAGCTTAGATCTTAAAATATACAAAAATAGGAAAAAAAATGCTATTCGCATTAAAATGAGTATAATACACCCATTTATGAATTTCTGAATTAAACGTCATTTTGATATTTTTGTGAGGTGTCAAAAATGTCTAGGTGGTCCAACTGTCCAAAGATTGTGAAAGAGAAAAAAGTGTCATTAAAAAGTTAAAATTCTTGAGGGGGGGGGGGGAACAAATAAATAAATATAAAAAAAAAAATATATATATTTATTTATTGGACTCAATTGTCTGTCAAATTAAAATCAGTGACTGAACTCAAAATAGTACGGCATACTACCTACTAGTTTATTTCTGCAATATTTTTACATAAAGAAAGAGTACATTTTTAAGAACTTGGCATGTGTGTTTAAAACTACATTTTTTTCTAATCTCCTTTTTATTATCTCAGACTACCCTTATTTGTCACTTAACCTTAAAGACTCCCAAAAGTTGCCAGATAGATTGAACCTTACTTGCACCCAAACATTATAATGGTTAATGCACCACCACATACTCTTTAATTCTTCTTAATGTGCAGGCAAGATAGTTAACCCTTTCTGCTGTGCCTTACATTGTGCACATGGTAATTAATAGCAACAAACGGTGTACAAATATGAATTTCATCACCTCTCTTCTTTGTCTGTGATGAAATGGCCCGTCAGGGCTTCATGAAAGGTATTAGTTGATAAGAAGAAAGACGTTAGTCTATATATATATATATATCTCAAATTACTGTGTTTCAGAAAGATAACACCGTCTGAATGCAACTTTAAGAAGCCGTTTGTAATCTTGCCATAGTTTACATGTAGTAATGCTGTTCCATCCGCCAATGAGAGCGACGTATATATTTGAATATTGAACATGATTGACACGTCTGTCGACCAATGAGAAAGCTGATATCAGTTTGCAAACGTCGGTGCCATAGCGACAAGAGAATGACGCTTTGTATTCCCAACAATAGTGAATGGCAGTGGTTTAAGTCCGTCGCGCGAAGGGAGTTCCGAAATAAACGAAGAAAAACTTTGGAATTAAAAAGAGTGCAGGTAAGCGCCGATGTATACATTTGTTGTTAATACATACGTGGACTTTAAGTGAAAGAAGTGCGTTTGGAACGCAAGTTTGTTTACGTATACTGTGACTGAAAAGTGGCATGTGACACGAGAGCTCTCAAAGCAAATGGATAGTTTTGTATCTGTCTTTTCCTTTTTCAAAAAGACCATTCACGTTTATCTTGTCCTTTTTTTGGAAGAAATGCGATTAAAAACAGTTTAATTTATCCTTATTTCACAATTTGAGTAACCTTTTTGAAGTTTTGCCACTTAGATCTGCGTTGTGAATTTTTAAAAATATAAAATACAATTCGTAGAGATGTTTATAAAATATCATGTTTTATTTAATATTGTTTATATAATAAAATATATTATATATTTAAAATAGTTGTAAATGATGATAAATAAACATCCCATATGTGTGTGTGTGTGTGTGTGTATATGTGTGTTTTATATATATATATATATATATATATATATAATCGGTATATGAGTTCAGAACACTGCTTGAAATAAAATGAAGAAATTGTTAGTTTGTAATTGTTTATAATTGTTTAAAATAATTTAATAATACTAATAATAACATGCCACACTATGTGTATAAAATAAAATATGTAATACATTTTATATAAATGTCCTTGTAGTTTTTAAAAGATGATCAGAATGGCCAAA